TTTTAACCTTTATTCTGATTTCTTGTTGGGAAAAAAAATTGTGCCTTGCCAGTACTTTTAAACCCAGCCTAAACCGCTGATTCAACTGGACTGGTCACAATATCAAGCCAGTTTGAACCTCATCTGACCCGGTCAAAAGAAAAAATGGTGATCCAAATTAAGATTGTGATTAATTCAGCCATTTTCTTACTTTTGTGATTAAAAAAAAAATAGTGGCTAATCCCTCCCTATATATTAATTGAGAACGTGCTGAGCCTATGTGGCAGGCTCGCATGCTTCGGGATCCTATGTGGCAAAAATACATGCTTCGTTATTAGGCTTTGGTAGATTTAGTTTACTTCTAATTCAAATATATTTAGGTTCGGATTATCTATAATATGTTGATTATTTATGGTAAGGGTGGGCACCGGCCGGGACGGTCTTGGATTTGACTTGTCCGGATACCCATCTCACTTTTATGAATCCGTCCATGAACGAGGCACCGTCGCCACACATGTAATACATGGGTGTTGTACTAGTCAAGTTTAATGAATAAAGAAGAAAAAGATAATAAGCGTCTTTAAATTAACAAATTTCAAACTATTGCTTGTTTTCATTTTTTTTTTTTATTTGAGTGGCGTTTTTACTTTCTGAAGTTAATTAGACTTGATTTTTCCAAACGGTTCAACCGATTGTACTAGTGACCAAATAACCCAATTATACACCTAGTTGTAAGAGTTTAAGTTGGGGCATATCATCAAGACATAGGGAAATGCTACAATCTCGTTACGTCACCATTCCGTCGGAATTTATAACCGTTAGATCATTATGTAACCGTCGTGGATAGTTGATTTAACGGTTACCAATCCCGACGGAATGGTTCCGTAACGGGACTGTAGAATCTCCCCAAAACATAAACCAAAATTCAAATTTTCATCCATTAGGGTTCTTTTATTTTTTTTTTAGGATTTTCAATTTTTTTGGAATTTAATTTTATATTTGGCTAATGTGTCAACTTTTTTTTTTTTTTTTTTTTTTTTTTTTCTAATTTCTTTGGTATTGTTTAAATTCAAGTAATCGATTAATTTTTTAACATTAATTATAGTGTACAAGAAGCATCATCCGCCAACGCTAGACGATGAAGTGTGGCGACTTGAGAAGATAGGAAAAGGTGGAGTTTTCCATCGGAAACTAGCATCCCACGGCATTGACACAATTCAGGATTTCTTGAAACTCTTCACTGTCGACTCATCCAAACTTCGAAAGGTATGTACTTATTATAGTTTTGTTATGGAGTCATCGGATGACACGACTTATGGAGTCATCCACACTTATTCACAAATAGTGTATTGACACGTGTCTTATAATAAATATACTTTGGACATGTGTCAATACATTAATATATAGCATGATTGGTATGAATGATTGACATGAGAATGGAATGATCATTCCCTTACTCATTCTTTATCACATGATTGATATATTTTTTGGAAAAGAATGATCATTCCAAATGGAATAGCAAAACTCATATCCATGAAATTAGTCATTCCATAGTTAATGGGAGTTTTATCATTCCCATGTTTGTAGAAATTAATTTTTCAAAAAATAAAATTATATTCGACAACATATCCTTATAGGGATTTATGTAATGATATATTTTTATTAGTTAATATGTATATGAATACACAATTCAATAATTTATTATATAATATATATGAGCGTAACAATACAAAAATTTATCTATTAAAATATATATAGTATATTATTTTAGAAATAAAATAATTTTATTATTATCTTAAATAAAAAATAACATTAATATAAATATTATTTTTTTTCTATAAAATAGTGATAAATGATAATAAAGTATTATAATGTCATTTCATTCAGGTCTTATTCCTTCTGCATACCAAACACATCAATAGAAAAACTTGTTTCATTCTTTTCCCATATACATTCCATTTTTCAACTCATTTCATTCCTATCAAATTCCATTCCATTGTACCAATCATGCCATAAGTGATAAATAATTCCATAAAAAAAATTATCCGATGACTCCATAGAATTTCTGTAATTATTATCAGAACTTCTAATCATCCGTGCATCAAACTCTTGAATTCGTAAATCTCATGCATCATGTGTTAAAACTAAAATAATTATAACAAATACACTCACGTACACAAATTCTGTTATGATGGTCAATAGTTAGGTAGTCATACTTTCTTAACTAAAATGTATTTTCTATAATGAAATGGTATTTTTTATTTATATTATTTTATAAAATATGATATTTTAATATGAAATTATGTAAACTTATTAAATAAACATGGATCATTGCATTACTTTTTTGAACTGAATAGTTGTACTGAAAATATATTTTGACATGCACAGATACTTGGAAATGGAATGTCCGAGAAAAAGTGGCAATCAACCTTAAAGCACGCGAAGACTTGTGTCATGGGAACCAAACTCTATAGATCTCACGGCGACAACTGCACTCTCACCTTCAATCCCATCTGCCAACTCATCAAGGCTGAGTTTAATGGCCGAGTTTATTACGAAAATGAGTTGAAAGATATGCAAACAGTAAGCACTCTCTGCCTGTTCATACCTTTCGACCCTTTTCCTCTTGTAAGATAGTTCATGTTCTAGTTGACTCGTTTAGCAATCTAACAGCAACCTTAAGCATAAACATAAAATTGGAAGAGGTCTATGATATATGCAATTTTTTTCCTAATTAAGACATTACTTAATTATATTTGTGATCAGTGCATAGCCTCTTTGTTAATTATTTTCATAATATTGGAAGAGGAATATGATATATGCAATTTTTTTTCCTAATTAAGACATGACACAAACATAATACTGAATTATATTTATGATTTGTGTATAGTCTCTTTGTTAATTATTTTATTGTTTCTGATTAGTCGTACATCAAAAGCTTGGTTAATGATGCATATGCAAAATGGAGTTCCTTGGAGGAATTGGACGGACTCGTTCACGAGACCGCACTACTAACTCAAGGTATCGTTACAAAATACAAGTATTACGAACATTAAATGTCAATTAATTTGTGTTTCTTATATTTAAATGGAATATATACGAATACAAATGCAAAAAAATCAATTAGTAGAAGCAAATTTGGTATGATTATATTAATGTGGATGATGGTGTAGGTAAGGTACTAGCGGGCCATCAACAATTAGTAGGCGTTAATGGTGGCTTCTCATCAGGATTAGTGCACAATTACATGGTTATTGATGATGTTGTTGATCGAGTCTACACTGATGATTGGCCTCTAAGTTTCTATTCGACAACAGATAGGATGACTTGTGCATCTTACAAAAGCACTGGGGATATTAGATTTTCCTCCGAGTCGTCTTCTGGAAGTGATATCCTCTGAATGTATCGGGCTAAGAAATGAAGAGCTAAATTTATTTGCACCTTTAGGTACCCTTCCTATCATCCTATGAGATGTAAATATATATGATCAGTGTGTGTATGGTGTTGCAGTCTATCAAATGTAGTGTGCACTTTTATATTTACTAGTGAGGTGAACGTGCTCTGCACGTGAACCATATAATTTGTCTAATTGAATTTGAATTTGTCATTAAGTTAATTTGAAGATATTATACACTATTTATGATATACATTTTAAGTTAAAGACAAGTGTGTACACACAAATACACACACACACACATATTATTTTTATGTGAAAAATGGCTAGGATCATCATCCCTAAATATATTTACAAAATGCGTTTGAGCTTAAGTGGCATGATCTCACGCTTCAAAATCTTATATGACAAAAAATCATGCTTTGGAGTCAGACTTGAATATAAATTAATATTTTTTATACAAAAATAATTAATCTTGGATTTCATTTAATGTCCTTATTATTAATATTAAATCCATGCTTGATCTCTTCTTTATTTTCTTCCACAATTAGTTACAGTAAACTACTTTACGTTTCTTTTTCCTACATTATTTAATTGATACATCAATTATTATAAATGTTTCTTTTTATTATTCTTAAAATTTTATAAGTTTTTTTGTTTGTATTTTAATTTTCATATATGATATATCAAATTAATTATCTTTTAACAATTTTTGATTTGACATTCATATTATATATATATATAATACAAAACATTGATAACATCTTTATAAATAAAATTTAAATTTATTTATCAAACTCAATTAAAAATTATCAAATAAAACTATAAATTATCTTATAGAGTAATAGAAATTTATGAGTAATAGCATACCATAAAATAGTTATTTTATTTGTAAAAAATAGGTAAACCTTGTCAAATAAATATATAAACTATTCATCAACTCACATAATTTTAACTATCTATCACTTACAATTATTTATCTCATACTTTTACACCAAGTCAGTTTTAATCATTTTATTTTAAATATTATTTAAATATCTCACTAACAAGTGATCAAATCAACTTTTTCAAAAATAATCATAGTTAACTATATAAAATATTAGTTTATTTGTATCCACACACACCCACTCACCAACAATTTACATATGTATAAAAAGATTAGCCAACTTCTAATGCTATTTTGAATGGATGTTTCCCGCCCAAAACTTTTTGGACAAAATATGAAAGCTGTTTTTTTTTTTAAATATATACACATTTTAAAGTTTTCATTCTTTTATAAACCATAAATGTCATTGTATTTGAAAATATTATGACTAACTAATTTTAAATAGTTGTTTTATATGGATGATTGAATTACAAATATGACAACATACCAAAATTAAGAAACATTTTTATATTGAAGCAAAAAATTTTATATTTTAATAGACATGTGCCATAGATCTATGTTCTTGCAATTTTGTTAGTATCTCTGATGTTTCAAGTTTATATTTTATATTTTATTTACATAATTTGGTCAATCTACATAAAAATTCATAGTTATATAATATACCAGACTAAATTAAAAAATATCAAATAAAACCCTAAATTATCTTATAAAGTAAAAGAAAGTTATGAGTATTAACATACCATAAAACATATATTTTATTTGAAAAAATAGGTAAAATTTTTCCAATAAATATATAAATTATTCATCCACTCACATAATTTTAACTCTCTATCACTTACAATCATTTATCTCCTAATTTTACACCAAATCAGTTTTAATCATTTTATTTTAAATAATATTGAAATATCTCACTAACAATTAATCAAATCAAGTTTTTGAAAATTAATCATGGTTAACTATACAAAAAAAAAATAGTTTATTTGTATCCACAGTCCACTCACACCCACTCACCAACAATTTACATCTGTATAAAAAGATTAGCCAATTTCTATTGCTATTTTCGTAAGGATGTTTCCCGCCCAAAGATTTTTTGGAGAAAATAAGAAAGTTGTTTTTCTAATTTATAGACAATTTAATGTTTTCATTATTTTATAAACCATTAATGTCATTATATTTGAAAATGTTATGACTAACTAATTTGGTTAAATAGTTTTTTTTTATACTGATTGAATTATAAATATGAGATTATACCAAAATTAAGATGTATTTTGATATTGAAGCAAATAATTTTGTAGTTTAATAGACATGTGCCATAGATCTATGCTCTTGCAATTTTCTTAGTATCTCTGATGTTTCAAGTTTATATATTATTTACTTAATTTGGTCAATCTATATAAAAAATCCATAGTTATATAAAATTATTTTTCAAACAAAAGGCATTAAAATTTAAAAATAATTTAAACTAAATTTATATAATGATTTATGTATATTATCTAAATATTTTTATATAGACACTAAGAAAATAGAATTAGCAAAATTACTATTTACTCCAATTAAATCTTAAGTATGTAACATGGTGACTTTTGATTCGACTCTCATGGGTAAATACAATGAAAAGATAATATCAATTGCGATAAAATAATAATAATTCGTTTAATAATTATAATAAAAAAAATAAAAATATGTCAAGTTTATTAATTAATTTTTATTAAAAAAAATTATCCAATATAAGATACCACATGTTATCTGACATTAGTTTAAAAACCATTATGTAGAAAATAAATATAAATACGAAAAAGAGATAAAAAAAAAAACTATTTCAAGCACCGATTACAGACAAAAAAATGAAAAATTAATGGGTCGTCTATTAAACCATAGGTGTATCATTGCTCAAAAGAAAAATATAATGTTATTAATTAAAATGTAGAATTAATTAATAACTTATAAAATAATATAAGTTAAATATGAAATTGTTATTATGAAGATATAATAAAATATTATTTAATAATATATCAGTTTAATTATTGTGTTCCAATTTGTGCGTTGTACGGATAGATAAGCTAATGGTATTTAAAAGTTTCATAACCCTTTTGTACTTTAGTAGTTTATTTTTCAACCGCATGTGTTTCCGTTGGCACAAAAGCAGTTGAACCTTTAAAATAATATCGGTTTATTAATTTCTTTTATAATATAAGTGCTGACGATAACTGTTTTTTTAGTTCATCTAATCCATAAATATTTCATAAAAGTTATAATATTATTGATCATTATAATATCGATTTATTAATTTCTTTTATAAATATAAGTGCTGACGATAACTGTTTTTTAGTTCATCTAATCCATAAATATTTCCTAAAAGTTATAATATTATTGATTATTATTCCCAAAATCTACTAAACCCGTTTTCAATATATCATACTACTTGGGTTAATATAATCATGTAATATAAAATATTATTCTCTTATAATTTGTATCTTAAATATTTATTAAATAAATAACATAATAATTTAACTAAAATTGCCTTAATGAGAAAATTAATCAATATAAGTTAGATTTTTTTTTATTTTTTTGAGATTTAAAAAATTATCTTTAGAATTTGAAAAAAAAAATATAAACAAGTAAACTGTGGTAATATAAGTTCACATCCAAATCTAAATCTAAAATTAATAAAAGAATTTGCAACTATTAACCAAAAAAAATATTGACTAAACTAAAAAATGAAAAAAAAATACCCAAACAATAAAATGGAAACAAAACGTATATACATGATTTGTAACTAAACCATCAAAATCAAGATTACTCTGTCTCATTAAATGACTTTTAACAAAATGACAATTAAGCCATTAAAAAATCAAGAGAGTAAGGGCAATTTGGTCTGTTAAGATAGTTGTAAATAGTAGATAGTAGAAGAATAACATGTAAAGTACTTTTTTGTCATTACAAAGCATTAACAAATTATGATTGATATAGGGTATTTTAGTGAACACATATTTTTACAAAAATATTCATCCTTTTAAGATAGTAGAGATAGAGATAGAGATAGAGATAGAGATAGAGATAGAGATTAGAGTTTGGAGCTTTGCAGTATAATATTTACAACAACAGTCAAACAACAAAAACAACAAGTTAAAAAGAAAAAAAAAATAATAAGTAAAGATCACACCAAGATATATAGTGAATGAACGCATAATAATTCTGTTTGAAACCAAGCAAATTTTAAGTGGCAGCAGCCAAGCATGAACTAACATTTACTTCACTGCTGCCAATATTCAATTTGCAACACAATCATCAACAAGATATTCAATATGTTGATTTCATGCTTCTCATATATCATATTAGTATGACCTCACATTCAACTTCAGTTGAATTTTACTGACCACTAACACAAGTTGAATAGTGTGACATGTTAGGCTGTGCATTTTCTCATAGACTTGGCGTAGCTACATATTGTGTTCACTGAACTTCATAAACGAATCATTAGAAATATCATTATAATGCATTTCTTATACTCTGGTAAAAGCTTGTCAGAGAAAATTGCCTTGCAGTTTTTTCCACATTATTATGCATTTCTTCCCTCTGAGAAAAGCTTATCAGACAAAATTCCCTTATAGTTTTTTCCACGTTTGATAACCTCTTTTTCTTTTCTACAATATTTTCTAGTCCTTAAGGAACCAAAACATGGAGCCTAAAAGCAGAAAGAAAAAAGAGATCATGGTATAAGCACGCCAACTCAAAGTGTACTTGAGATCACATAGAAAAATGAACACTTCATTGTACTCAAGTGATTCTTTCCTCCACTAGAATTTCCATTTCTTACACAAAGTAAGGTTACAATTCAAATGTTTCATCCAAAGCCAAACCTATCAAAACCATGTATATTGTGAAATCAAAAGAAATATGATGACTAGTGCATCTGATGTTTGACAAGGGGAAAAGAAGTTGATAAAGACAGCTGAGTTTAACTACAGATATCATCCAAGGATTTCCTTTGAGTACCAATCCATGAGGTACAAGTACACTCTCTTGGACACTAGATGAAACTGGGCCAAAATCCTCAGTCTGTAAAATCAGCTCCACCACTCCAGTACACTTTTGTATTGACTTCTCTCTTGTCAAGCAATTTTGGTTTAATCAACTTAATCAATCCTGTGACAATGCTTGCCCTCTCCTGCAACTCAACTACCAGCTGAGGGCTCCAAACTAGTTTCCATCAGATTTACCAAGTTCACAAGAGATTCTATGGAAAGATGACGTGTTCTTGAAGATGATAGTTTCTGCTCATTCGCAAGAGATTATCCTCAGATACTATACACATCACAAGCTTTAGGGCCTCAAGCTTAATATTCCCATCAACATAACTCAAGGCTTCACCACCAAATTCTTCTTCTCCAACACAGCCCACAAATTCATCTGCGCAAAAACAACTAGTGCTTGTAGACCAAGATACTTCATATTCGGGTCATACTTGACCAGTAACTCTTGCGCTTTCTTGACCAAAAGCTTAACTGCATAATCATACTCGCTCAAACTAGCCAAGATCGTCCTCACACACTCAAAAACCAATGATCTAGCATCCATCCTCCACATATGCTCACAGATGGGCTCCACATAGCTTATATGTCTTTTCTGCATGTCTTGAAACGTCATGTATCAATAACTACTCCACAAATGATTATGAGACAACTTGAAATGTTACGTATCAGTATAAATACTAAATGAATGAAATTCGAAAATTTGCATTCACATCCCAATCCTATCACTATGCATAACAAAAAAAAAAGTGAATATATTTCTATTGTTAAGATCGTTTATCTTCACATCTCAATCGCAGCTTCATGTATTAATATTTTCATGGTTCTCATCTTTGATCAGTTCATAGAAGTCATCATCTCTATCGTTTTTCATCAGGTTCCTTCGATATTGGCCCGACTTAAGATCCTCCACCTCATGGCTTTGGGATTTCCACTATTAGAAATTGTGGTCGCACTAGATCAAGATGTTGAAAACCTCCTTTCCATGTTCTGGTACAGCCTTCTAGAGAGGACGACCTTTATAAGAGTTTCCATCCGCTCGAGAGAAGTCAACACTAGGAGTTCGTTGGTGCACGACCTTCGTCTAATAGGAGAATAGTGGGGATTGTCAGCAGATAACTTTGCCAGGCGGCAGCTACAGCCCATGCTTCTCTCAAGTAAACCGATATTTTTGGCCGAAACATGTTCGCGGACTTACATGACAAGTTAAAAATTGAGGAGAAGATGGAAAAAAAATAAAAACAGGTGTAAGAAGCTAGAAAAGACCGTCATCCGACTAGTTAAAGAAAAATGAAAGGCGAACAAGTTGGTAAATGTCGTAGATTCATTCGGACACAAGAATAATTGTTTAAAATAAACCGATCTACGACTGAAATGCGATACACCTGTGATTAACCGAACTGTTCACATCAATCTCTGCAAATTTGTCGCCTATTTGTCGGATAGTTCATCGCATATTTTTTTCAAACTACTCAATTAACTTTGTTTGTCTTGTCGCTCACTGTCCACTTATCTTCACCTTTCTGTCGCATATGTTATCGCATATTAAATTTGCACTTACTCAATTAACTATGCATGTCTGTCGCATAATTGTTTCGAACTTGCTCAATTAACTCGGCATGTTTGTCGCGTAATTGTTTCAGCCACTTGTATAGTTAAATTCACATTTGTTCAATTAACTCCGCATATCCGTGGCACAGTCTATTATATAATTGTTTGTACTTGTTCAATTGTTCTATGGCATAATTTATCTTATAATTAAGTTATCTTCGTCCTTTTGTCGCCTAACTTTATCGCATATCTATTTTGCACTTGTGCAGTTATCTTCGCTTGGGATAAAAAATTAATTTATTAATTGACGATATAAAAAAATTTAATCTATTACGTGAGTTGAAAATAACTATTTACTACAATATCAATATCAATATTATTAATTAATAAAGAAAACCTCTCCACTTTCTTCCTCGTCTTTAAACCGCTATTTTTCGCCGCCGTGTGGACGCCGTACACTCCTACCATCTCCCCACTGTTCACCACGCTCCGTCAATCTCACCTACCCTCTCAACAGCTACTTCTATTCGACTATGTTTTCCAGCTTCTAATGCTCACAACCACCATCAACCACCACCAATTATACCGTGAGCCCTTTTCGTTTTAACCGCTGTCTACTGGCTCCGTTTCTTTGTAATGAATGAGGTTTTCCATTCGTAAAGGAGAGGGCAAACAGAAGAACGAGAATGGCCGAGGTGGATCAGCTGTTGTCCAAGAAAGTAGCCGATCGTTACCTGAAACGCGAGGTCCTCGGTGAAGGCACATATGGCGTCGTTTACAAAGCTATCGATACTAAGGTACCGTCGTCGTTACATTTGCTGTGTGCTTACTTTTCTGAGCTATTGGGCCCGTCTATGTTTCAATTCGAGCTGTATCCCTGTTGGTGTTACCGACCTACATCTGTGAAATAATTGCTATTCTAGGGTTCATGTATAGTTAGTTCGCGTATTCAGTGTACTTGGAGAAGACTTGGGATTGGATTATTAGCCTTTCTGGATTTCTGATTATGGGTGTGGGATTCTGGAGGATTTTGCATTCATCAATCTTATGTCCTGTGTGTTTGTAAAAGAGTTGTCTCTGTTTACTACTACATTCTTCTATTCCATTTCATGAGCAGACAGGGCAAACAGTTGCCATCAAGAAGATTCGGCTTGGGAAGCAGAAGGAAGGGGTGAACTTCACAGCTTTGAGAGAAATTAAATTGCTTAAGGAGCTTCACGGCCCAAATATAATTGAGCTGATTGATGCATTCCCTCATAAGGGGAACTTGCACCTTGTGTTTGAGTTCATGGAGACAGATCTGGAAGCTGTTATTCGTGATAGAAATATATTTCTCTCGCCGGCTGATATCAAGTCGTACATTCAAATGACTCTGAAGGGTCTTGCATTTTGCCATAAGAAATGGGTCCTGCATAGGTGAAGTTTGTTCAATTTGTAATGCATATAATGCCTGACATGCTTCGACTTTTGAGATTATTGACTGTCTTGACTTGAACAGGGATATGAAACCAAACAACTTGCTGATTGGACCTGGAGGGCAACTTAAACTAGCTGATTTTGGATTAGCCCGTATATTTGGGAGCCCAGACCGAAGATTCACACACCAGGTATGCATCTCTCTGATTGATCCAAACCAAACACTATCTGAACTCCATGACATCTCAGACTTGTTGCATGATATAATGGTGTTGATTCCTGTTGCCGCAGCGTAAGAAGATTGGTTAATATGTGTCAGATGGGCGCTCTGTTTGAAATCTTTTGTGTGTTTATATTTTTGAAACGCTGTTATTTTGATGGAGTTATAGAACTGTTGGAAGAATTTGTGTAATATTTTGTCGGGATGCTTCCAAGTGGCAACAGACTCTTGTTTATGTAACCTATACCCTCAACTGTGAGTCTCCGTGACAGGCTGTAGTGTATAGAAGCCTGCTAGTTCTACTTATTAGTTTGAGCTGACTTTTAGAAGTCTATTTTTAAAAAAAAAAAAAAAAAATCTTATATCTTAATCTGGACTACAAAATGATTATCTTATATGCATCTTTTTCTGCGGGTGAATCGTATTGAACCGTTCAATATCATATTAGGTTTTCGCTAGATGGTACAGAGCACCGGAGCTGCTGTTTGGTGCCAAACAGTATGGTCCAGGTGTGGATGTTTGGGCTGCAGCATGTATATTTGCTGAACTACTTCTTCGTCGGCCTTTTCTGCAGGTAAAAGTTTATCTTGTTATTACATTTTGTCCGCACAAGCTTAATCATACATAATGCTTGAATCTTTAGCGACTATTTATGTTTCCGTCTCCAGATTTATGGTATAAGGATACCCTATGGTCTTCCGATGTACTTAGTTTTGAATTCATTACATTTTTACTATTAATTCTGATCCAAAGCAAATTTCTGTAGGGAAACACTGATATGGATCAACTAGGAAAAATCTTTGGTGTTTTTGGGACCCCGAAGAGATCACAATGGCCAGATATGGTGTATCTTCCCGATTATTTGGAGTACCAATATGCTCCTGCTCAACCATTGCGCACATTATTTCCCACGGCAAGCGATGATGCTTTGGACCTCTTAGGGAAGATGTTTATGTACGATCCAAAAGCAAGAATTTCAGCACAGCAGGCTTTGGAGCACCGGTATGCTCCATTTTATTAAAACTTGTCACATGGTTGGTTTGACAAAACACATGCATTTACTTTACTCTTCCACAGTTACTTTACTTCCACCCCTCTACCTACTGAACCTGCTATGCTTCCGAGACCTCCTCCAAAGAAGGATGCCATCAATCCAAAGGTCCCAGACCTTAATCCTCTGGAGGGCCCCACAGTGTTGTCTCCTCCAAGAAAGCAAAGAAGGGTAATGCCTAATCGTGAGGCATTTGATGTGAGTGCTCGGCAGATGGCTAATACGGAAGACCTTGGGAACGGGATAAGACAGACAGGCGAGGAGAGGGGTGGACAAGCTCCAATGTCTCTGGAGTTCTCCGCTTTAGGAGAGGGGTATCCAAATAGACCAACAATTTCTAGGTAGGCAAAATATCTTGTGAGCTTGCACACTTGATGATACAATCTTGAATATAAATTTGTCAATATGGAGTTATGAACCATGCTAATCATGGTTAATCGTATCTTGCTTCTTGTGCCCTTTGGAAGACACAATAATAGTTGGTAAAAGTGATACCTGCCACTATCATAAAAAGTACAGATAGATAGTAGAATCCAATAGAAGGCCAGTAGAAAATATAGATGGGAGAACAATATCAAATCAATGCATGAGGATCATGGGAAGTTTGTCAAACAAATTTGTGAAGAAATTTTACACATTATGATATTATCCATAGATTTTGGCTCTAAGGTTCTGAATGGAAACTTTTGAAGGAAATTGAATGTAGTCTCTTGTATTTATAAACACTGCCTCATTGATCCCTCACCATTCTCTTGAGGTGTCATCACCCCTACCCATCCTCCTAAACAAAATAAATAAATAAAACTACTATGTAAGTTTAGTTTTTATTGCATTTCATGTCGGTCAATATGCATGTCCTGTCTTTTGAAGGAAATCATGAAGATGTTCTATGTACCATGTCAGCCAATCCAGAAAGTAGATTCCAAAACGCCCGTCCATATACATGTATCATGTCTTCTAGATCCTTTTGTTTTTCTTGTATTACTCTGAGGTTTTGGTTAATATGTTGGGTAGTTGTGTGGATAGTTGTTGGAGCCTTTTAGAACCTTTGGTTTGATCGGAGTTAGGGCTGAGTATTTGTAGATCATTTGGCCGTTGCATATATTGATGACTACACATAATGATTGTTACGAGTTTAAGTTCTAAATATCATTAAATGTTAGTCCTTTCGTACCAGTGCTGACAGATCACATTTAAAGAGGAAACTTGATCTTGAATTTCAACTGCCTGAAGACGATGACTAATTTACAGACAAGTATCACCTTGTTTTCGAGATTTTCGCACCATATTGTAGTAAATCGCCCTGCTGAGGTTTGTGATTTTTTTTTCTCAGAAGATATCATGCTTTTGACTTCACAGTTTCCTATTTTGTTGACTGCCTTAACAATGCTTATTATTATTAGGTTTTCTGATTAATTGAGGAAATGGTGCCAGCTGCTTAAAGGAGTAATTAACAAATAGTTTATGTATCCCTTACAATATAGCAGATCCCAAGTAAAAAAGAGCAAAACAATTGTTATTTCTTGCAGTTAAACATTTGTATGTGGTTTGGATATGTTAATTGCATGAGAATTGTGTATTATTCTAATGAGTTGTGAGAGGTTTACGAATTGTTTGCGGCAACATTTGAAATTTTTAAAATTTATAAAACCATGATTCTTGCATGTTCCTGGTGGCTGTATGTGTTAAAATTAAACGTGCAGTTTGACCTGTAATAAATTTTCATTGATTTTATATATATTGTTGCACCTTAAGTTTGTCATCGACAATAAGACACATGAAATGGCACTGATGTACACAAATAAACCTACTTTTCATGTTATGATGAAAGATACTCTTTAAAATTCTTAATACATATGGTGGTGTTACTTAATTTGCATGATTCTAGGAATGAGTTGGGATACAATGATCTTTCTGAAATTCTTGTCATTTAAATTATTTTCCAGAATTTTAACTTAGCGTAAATATGTCCTAAAAATATAATAAAAAAATATTGTGACATTAATAAGGGGCAAATATGCACATAAGATGAAGAGGAAGGGTATCGGTAATTTTCTCAAATCAATTATCACAAATTCAAATATTTTGAAATACTTGTATCCGGGTGCAATATCAAATCAATTATCACAAATTCAAAAATTTTGAAATACTTGTATCCGGGTGCAATTACCGAACACGACTGGGTAATTTTCTCAAATCAACTATCACAAATTCAGAAATTTAGAAATACTTGTTTCCGGGTGCAATTCCCTCACACGACTGGATTGTTTGATAAACACCGAGGTTTATCGTTTGCGCCTAAACATAGGAATTTAGATATTTAAAGGTCTTACCTTTTTTTTCATATGAAAAAAATTCTACAATCAAAGTTGTCATCAAGAAAACCATCTAAGTTAAACAAGTGTATAATTATAACCGTGATAAGTACACCTTTTTTCTTTAAATAAAATGATAGTTGTGCATAGTCATAAACTCATTTTTCATCCGAAAAAATAAAAATATACCAAGACCCTGCGTCCAAAAATTGTCTAGCCTCGCTGCCAAAAAAAAATTGTCTAGCCTCAAGCCACTTCCTTAAATTCAATACAACAATGTCGCTTGACATCTAAAGTAATGGAATTCACACAGTAAAAACGACGGAAAGAGCTACAAATGTTCAAAATCCCGACCAGCTTTCAAGTCCAAAAATGTCTATTTTAACATACAATTATACCTTTTCCTTAAACCACAATTAAGTTACAAATACTTGAGACCCTCAAACAAATTTTCATCCAGAAACAATCCTTCTATTCCTTATTGTTCAAATAGTGAAGGATCCAAGCCACATCATCGCTGTTCACGACAGCAATGGCATATTTCCGTATAGTATAGTGTGTACAAAAACGGCATAGAAACTCACTCCACAACTTCCATCAAGAATCCATCAATTAACCTCACCCTCTCAAGAAGCTTGAACTGCCAGCCGCTGAAGATGATCAATGAAAACTTGTAGACTCACGTCATCAGTGAAGATCACATCAGACCCAGTATTCATCATCTCATGTGCATTGCTGTAAGTGGCTGAAGGGTTCAATTTCGCCAATAAAAATCTTGCCTGTGGCAATCATGTCCAAGCATTAAAAAAAACATTAGGAAGAAAAAAAAAAGCAGGGATTAAGACATGTCTCAAGTCTCAACCCAAAAACAGTCATTAATGTCAAAAATCCCAACCAACATTGATGAATCTACAAAACAATCATCACAGGCCACATTACTAGAAAATGCACTTTGAATTCACTCTTTACAGATTCAATTACTATCTCAGCCAGCTTAAAGGTAAAACCAAACCTTGAAAGTTTCTTATTACCACCTTAATCTGCAATACGCTAATAAATGTCGGCATAAATATGAGTTTAGAAAAAAAAAATAACAAATATGAAAAACAGAAACTATGAAATAACACGGGTTCACACATTGCATTAGAATCCTAAACAGCTACAGAGCAACGAATTCGACGATGAGAATTTCATATCCAAATTAACAACATGCCCTACTCCATAAAATAAAATATTATGACAAATTGATAATTCAGTAGAGATTAAACAAAAACACCAACAGAGTAAAGCAGTAACAGAGAACATAGCATCCCATTTCACAGAAAAAGCAGGTACCCAAGCTAATCCATCCTGATGTCCCATAATGTGAAGAACTTGTAAATTGAATAATACAAGACTAGAGTTAACACACTCATCTTGATCAAGACTTGAGTTACAAACAAATACACACAAAAATCCATAACTTAAATAATGCATATATAATACCTGAGAGCCATGCTGATCACAAACCACAAGTCTTGGTACAGGAAAACGATCACGAATTATTAATTGAGCATCATCTTGTGGAGCTCGTAACAGATGAGCAAAAGCCTATAAAACGGGCAGGGTGAATTATTAATTTTATCATTCACACGGAAAACAATGAGCTAATATGTAGAAGAATCACCTTGCAAAGCATTCAAGTTCTATACGGGGCAGAACAATATTGAACAGAAAATAGGGTTTGAAGTTCCTAAAACAGCCCCATGCTGTTTCGGAGTTCCTAAAATAGATTTCTAAAACAGCCCCACATAGCCATGTTTAAAAGGAATTCAAGCATTACATCTACCATAAATTATTGTGAGGGATTTCATGTAGGGTAGTTATATTGAGAATACATCAAGGAAAGTTGCTTGGATATTTTTTGGGATCAATTATCTTTTCAACAAATCGTTTGGAACTTGGGAATGCAATTATCATTCCCCCGATAAAAATGAACCACCAAGTTTCATCTTCGGATATATCAAACATAAGCTATTTTCAAGAGAAAAACCACCCAAAAAAATCTCCACATAAGAATTCGAAGGTAATACAAAATTCACCACCAAAAAAAAAAAACAAGAACAAACGAAATCAAACCTGATGTTCTGGCTGATTCTGGTATCCCATATTCCTCCACTGTGCTATTGTCATTCCATGAAAGATAACTACACTAAAATACGAATCTAGCAAGAGAATACGATCAGCAGCGATGGATTGGACGTCAAGCAAAGCTGGTGCAGGCAGTGAATTAAACGCATATGATATTAAGGACGGCTGGATCATGACTGCAGCATTGTTTATAGACTCCCGGTTCAACAAAATGCGAAAATAGGCAGTCTCATCTGGGCTATTGTTAAATACCTGAAAGATGGGGAATAGAGAGATCAAATTTATAGCACATCATACGCGTAACAATGGTCATATAACATTATATAGGGTATACCTGTACAAATTGTGATCTTCGCAGATTAAACATGAACTGAGGGAACAACGAAAAGCAGGGATTCAATGTAAATGATGCTGGATCATCTTTCCGATAGTCCCCAAACTTGGAGCACAGGCGAATCAGATTCCTATCCAACCATCTTGTAGCATCAAAACTTTCCTGCAATGGAAATGCCAATCAATTTACTTTGGTTACTTAGTTGATGAAATATTTTGATATTCTCTGTAGGTCCAACATAGATTTATAATTCCATTATCATCCGTATAGGTTATATATGTTATTTTTCACACTTTAAATCCTAAATTTAATGATACCTATGGTATTGGAGAAACTGTATGCTATTTGATTTGTCTTTCCTTTGGCCTAACATATGAATAACATAATTTGTGTATGTGTAAGGATTAAGGAATGGTCTTATAACCAAAGAGTTAGGTTTTGTGTTTTCTAGGGGAGTCATGAACAATATAAAGTTATGACCAAATTTTTGCAGCCTGAAATGCAGATGAATTGTATAAAGATGTTCGATAATCAGGCTACTGATCTGTCGATGAACTGAAATCTAAAGAAACTCAGGGCGTGCTTGATTCAAATTAATCCGCTCAAAATGAGTTTTTTTGTTAACTAGAGTTAATTTTAAAAAATGTGGTATGGTTAGTAGTTACTTGTTAGTGGGATTTGAGTTTATACTTTATATTAAAATAATATATAAAATAAAATAATTAAAGTTGCTTTGATGTAAAAGTAGGAGAGATGATGTGAAGTGATGGTTAGTTAAATTATGTGAGTAGATGAATAGTGAATTAAAGTTGATGCGATGTGTAAGAATGATTGGTTTGTATTATTTAATTATATGATTCATATATTAAGGATAGAGGGGTTTGAGTTGGATTTTGAGTATGGATTAAATGTGTGAGATATTTTGTAAACAAGCACCCTCTCAATAATCTCCAACTATAAATTTCTCCGTCCTACCCCTTCTCCAACTTGCATTTTCCAAATGAGCAGTTACACTAGCAAACTAACTTGTATTGTATATGAAAAGCATTAAAGTTAGACAAATAGCTACATATATGAAAGCATGAATGAAATGATATGAGCATGATTAGTATGGACCCGTGTTGTCAAATAGCGGCCATAGCAGCGCCATGGCCATATGCCTAGCGGTTTGGCTTGGCCACTATGCAAGTTCCGAAAACTAGCGGCTTTTCAATGGCGGCCATGGCGTGAAATGGCAGATTTTCTGCCCAAATTTGTTTAAAATTTTAGTTGGGCCTGCCCAATTTTCCAAAAGCAGCCCGTACCAAACAAAAAAAAAATGGAAATAGAAACAGAAAAGAGAACAGAATAGATCAGGGGACACAAACAGAGAACAGAAAAAACCTAGAAAGAAAAGGCAGCTTTTTTCACTACCCCAGCGCATCACACAGACGACCTGTCCGCCAGCGAAGCATCACTCTGGAGAACTATCACTGGACTAGACTCAATCACTGATAAATTACTTTTTTTTTTTTCATGGTCAGTTTTGTTTTCTTCTTTTCTTTTATTTTCTCGTCTGGTAAGTTACTCAATTAGTGGTTGTCTAGGACCCTTTCACTCTCTTGATTCAGTTTTTACAACTTATAACATGACAACCTTTTTTTTTGTCTGAAGCTTTTTGTCTCAGTTACTGGTTGTCAATGACCCTTTCAAAAAGCTTTTACAAATTTTAAGTAATAAGATAACCTTCCTTTTACCACTGCTTCAGTTTTGAGTTCAGACTTTCAGTTTATTTTATTTGTGTAAGGTTCTTAAGCTAACTTATTAATTTTGCAACTTACAAGATTTATGGACATGATTTGGGGTGACCCAGGGTTCATACCAAAAATTTTTATGTGTAGATATATATAAGATATATATTTTTCGGTCTGCCATGACTTCCGCCATTTTCCGCCACGCCATCAGCCATGTAAATATGGCGCGTTTTTGGCTTTCTGCCATGGCCCGCCATCCGCCATCGATAACACAGGTATGGACTGTGGCAACTGGTAGCAAGTAGACATAGACTCCTCTAGACCTGATACTTGACTTAATAAATAGGTTCCATCAAGTTTGGTACATATATGGGTCCAATTCTTTCCATATGCCTCACTTGTCAGTTTTCCATTTCAAGATATGTGTGCCCAGAATTTCAATCTTGCTTAAACTTGTATCACTTGAAGTTCCCAGTGAAAGAAAATAATGGTTCCAGAAAGAAAGAAACAAATTCAGAGCTACGTAATGCACCAAAATTAGGAATACATAGTTTTAAGAAAAGTTTAGACTTTAGAGCAGTATTATTAATGGCGGATGGTGGTAAATGACGGCAGTCCAAAATCCCTCCACAGTGGCTGCCATGGCGGGCACCATGGCAGAAATCCACCACGCCATACTGCCATGGCCGCCATTTGATAACACTTGTTTAGAGCTATGTCAGATGATTAAAAGTTGTTTTATCTGCATTTATAAAAAATCTATATTTGTATTACCTCCATTTCCATTTTATAAGAAGCTAGCCGAGCCATTACTACAGCAGCAACCTCCTGGTCAAATCCTTGAATTAAATCCTGTAGACACAGAACAAATTAGGAGCAACATCGCAGCCATCTTCACCAAGCTTGCCACGACGAAATCAATGAAAAAGTTTCAACAAGTTGCATGGGGAAATGGAGAGAGAAAATGTCGAACATGTTCAGAAAATTAAAAATGAGAAATGAGAAACTTCAAATTTTTGTTAGTCCAGAGGAATAATATTATCACATCTCGGTACCTGCCAAGTTTGCAAATCAGATGTATGACACAATCAGAATAAAGCAGTAACGCACCCATGGTTATTAAACATGTAACACTGTGACTCCTAATTCATCTCAGAGAAACCATTTATATTTATCTACAAATCAAATATTACTAGTGTGCTGTAGATCTATGTGAACTGGAGTCCACATCAAGATTTTGTAATCCAAATACTTTGAAAAGTGGCAAATGATTAAAACCATTTTTTTCTGCCTTTCTTTGCGAGATGGTGAATGGAAACAAATCTAAACCCTTGAGGAAAATAATACCATACAACATAGTTTTGGATCCAAAAGAATGATATGAAGCAAGGCATTCTCTATGAAATAACGTCTGTAAACACTGATTATCTTACCTCATTTCCCAAAGCACTATCCACCCATCGTCTAGTAACAGTTGTGACTCTAACCCGCATTTGACCATCAGAAGTCTGATAACTGTCCAAGAGAACAGTTTGGACTAGTTTAAATTTCTTATGTTGATAAAATATGTTAATTATCCAGAAAGGCACACATAGGGAAAGGGAAATCTTACAAACCTAGTTAGAAACTGTATGTATAGATGAGGATTTGGTCCAGCAGCATCAGACTTTTCACTGGAAGAAACATCAAAGAAAACAGTTAAACAAGTACTCCTGTCAAGGCCACACATCTTCCACGCTGTAGTGTTCCCTTGCCCTATAACAGTGTTGGCAACAGCAGGCCCTTTCTGCAAAGCAGATCAACACAATGTATCAAACTACAAACTTCCAAGAGATTATGATCTTCTAATTATGGCAGCTACAGTAAAATGCTTCCAAGGTAAGTATAACATTTTGGATGTACAAACCTTCTCTAATGATGTGCATGGCCCAATGATTCCTTGGATTTTTATATCCTTTGAGCAGTTGATCTCCAGTGTGCCACTAAACACATTAAACGATAAATATTATATCCCATCAATGTAGTTCCATCACAAAAAATGATCTAACCATTTTTTTGGACAAACTTCAAACCAAAAACAACTAATGTATTGCCATTAGTGTTGTTTAAGACTTACTTTTGCCTCATGAAAAATATCACTACCAGAACTTGAAGACTCGCGATAGTTAAAATGTAGACAATTATAATAGAAAAAACAGTCCATGTTCAAAAAATTACATAAAATCACAAATGAAACTTATTGGATAGAACTTTAGTTTTAAATGGTGAATGGTGACGCGAGGCAATTTGCCTATGGAGAGACCATGAGGCGAGGCCTCACAAACATATGACACCAAAACGCAAAATATATATATATATATATATATATAT